CATGTACCTTTGCCATAGATGTCACCATGGCTTCCAGTTAATCTCCAGTCAAAATTATATGTGCATATAGCCTGCACATTGCTGTAGCCTGTGCCGTGAAATAGCATCTTCTCCTCAATGTCCGCGGCCCGTTTTATCTTTCTTAGCTGAGCTTTTTTCCTTCAGAAGACCAAGGAGTGGAAAAAGAAAGACAATCTGTTTTCCAGCAGCTAAAATATACACAGCGTTACCATTGTCCCAACTTAAGTCACGCCACAATCGTACTGAGAAAGAGACACTATTTACCGGCAAAAAAACTCCCAAAGGTCTAAGTTCTGGATCCTCTGGATTGATCTGATGGGTGCATCCATAGTTCTTTCAAAAAGTCTCATGACCTCCTTATACTCAAAAGTGTCCTTGCTCAGAGTGATGAGCTGGCAGGGAAAAAGGACAAAAAGGACTCGTTTAATCAGTTTCATCTTAGGTTACCTTGAAGAACATTCCAGCTCCTTGTACCTGATAGGGCTCTTCTGTGTTAATCCTCTCCCAGTGTACAGGAACGGGAAGGGCAATATTATCACAGATGAACCTGTTAAGAAAAGCAGACACATAATTACTACGGAAAACACTTATCTGAAGTACCACACGATGTCAGCGCAAAAGGGAACACAGCTATTAAGTAGCTTGGGTTGGAGGCAAAAATACTACAGATTCTGTGGGAAAATGCTGATGTGACGATAGAAAATAAAACTGCAAAAAAAATCACCAATTCCACAGTAAGGCAGGAGTATTTAAGTTACTCAGGACTTGGAACTTTCAAACCACCACAGCAGCTGTGATGCTGTTTTACGGAAAACAAAACCCAGCGCGCAAGTAGGAAGCTGCCAGCCGCCAAGTTTCGCTTTCGCTTCGCGCGCAGTTCTGACCTGAAACTTGTCTCGGAACGCAGCGCGCGCTGTATAGGACGCTGCTTGCCAGTTGTCAAGTTGGTCTGCTTCATCACTGAACAGAGGGAAATCACAGACGTGGTCTCACATTAATGTGACTTCCAAAACACTGCATCCCCAAGACAAACAGGAGGCAAAACCCACCGAACATCATTTGCAACACTGATTTACCATAAAATCATGATGGGGATGAAGCGAGTCTTACCAGGATTTAGTACCTGAAAAATCTAATCTGTAAGTATACTTCGCTGTGCAGAACTCCATGACACCCAGTTGATTTCTGCTGTAGTTCTGTTCAATTTGCTCACTGGTCACAGAACAGGCAGCACTTTGATTAATCTGCAACAAATACCAATTATCAAAATTAACCAGTTAGGTGTGTGGTGCTTAGAGCGACACACAGCTGAATCGCACAGTTACGGTAATGTACGATGCGTTTACCTCAAACATATGCCAGACGCCACATTCAGCGAGATAAAACCAGCTCCAGTGAGCCTCCGAGGTGTCCATGTCCTCCACCTCGCCGGACACATGTCTGACGGCCCTTGAGCACTGCATGATCTGATCTCGATTAAAACAAACATTCATCACACATTAGTAAATGTGAAATCATACAAAGAGCGCCCAGAAAGATGACTAAAACATAGAAAATGATTTAAATCGCGTCATTCATAGCGAAGACACCTTAATCCCTGCCACAAACTGTCACATTACAGCGTTCAGATTTATTCCTGCTAAAGAGGAAGCAGACACTCAGACTCAGCTTTACCGGATCTATAACCCCCCTTACGCCGGTGTAAGGACCACGCCGGGGTCCGAGCGTCCTTTTCGTAGATGACCTAACAGCGCCGGCCGCCTTTCACAGGAGCGCCAGATTCTCCCGTTTATTTTGCCGAACCGCACATTGTGTTTGTTTGCTTCCGTTCACGTCATCGCGTCCGGTACGTCATCGACGCTTTCTTCTTCCTTGGATACGGTTACCAAGTTAGAAGAAACAATCGCTTCTATTCAGAAACGCCTTAACTCAATTCACTCAAATGACATAAGTACACTTCAGTCGCTTGAGTGATTTTGATTTAAAAAAAGCCACGTGAGTGGAGTTACTGCCCGGCCCGGGTAAAATGACTATGATCGAGGTGGCGCGTTCCAAGAGCTGAAGCTAGATGGCGCCCGCATACAGACAAAACGCCTTATACGATGATGGAATGCTTGTCGTTTTGAAACGCGATAGATAGATAGATAGATAGATAGATAGATAGATAGATAGATAGATAGAAAAAAAAATGTCCAAGGACATTTTTTTTCTATGCCAAGCCTGAATTTAAAAGTAATATACACACATACATACCTACACACGTAATAAATACATAAAACCCAACATCCAAAACAATAATGAGAATAAATGTCAATCCCCAGGAGCTTGAAGCTGGTGACCCTCTCCACTTCCTCACCCCTGACCATGTGAGATCCTCGCTGATGTAAATCCCAAGGAGCTTGAAGCTGGTGACCCTCTCCATTTCCTCACCCTTGACCNGAGCTTGAAGCTGGTGACCCTCTCCATTTCCTCACCCTTGACCATGTGAGGTCCTCACTGATGTAAATCCCCAGGAGCTTGAAGCTGGTGACCCTCTCCACTTCCTCACCCTTGACCTTGTGAGGTCCTCACTGATGTCAATCCCCAGGAGCTTGAAGTTGGTGACCCTCTCCACTTCCTCACCCCTGACCTTGTGAGGTCCTCACTGATGTCAATCCCCAGGAGCTTGAAGCTGGTGACCCTCTCCACTTCCTCACCCCTGACCTTGTGAGGTCCTCGCTGATGTAAATCCCCAGGAGCTTGAAGCTGGTGACCCTCTCCACTTCCTCACCCCTGACCTTGTGAGATCCTCACTGATGTCAATCCCCAGGAGCTTGAAGCTGGTGACCCTCTCCACTTCCTCACCCCTGACCTTGTGAGATCCTCACTGATGTCAATC